GGAAGCAGGGCAATGGCATGTTATGTTTTTTAAAAGTTATTATTATTTAGATTTTGCTACTGGGCAAATGTGCTCACCAGACAGAGAGGGAGAGTGAGAAAGCAAGCTGCCAGGTCCGGGACTTGAACCGCAGTTAGCCATGTGGGAGTCCAGTACCTTAACCACCACACCACCTGCCAGCCCCAGATACTAGGTTTTAAATTTTTATTTTTTTTTTATTTATCAAAGTGAGACTTTTCTAGTAGCAGCGCTACTAGGCCTGTAGGTGGGCTTCTTTTTCTTCCTCCCTCTGATTAATATCAAACACGCAACATAGATCTCACCAAGTGGCCCCGAGGCGTTCTTGGCGCACTTGCCCCCGGCAAAGCCGACTGCCGAGCACCTGAGAACTTCTGCCTTGATGTGCTGCCACAAGAGAACAAAATTGAATCAAAGAACGTTTTTTTTCTTGTCCTGGCAGCTGAAATAGGCGACTCCAGACCGAACGTGTAAAAGGTCTTGGTTCGGAAGGGTTCCTTCCTGTGAGGCTCCTGCAGTGATCTGGGTCTCTCCTCTCCTTCCAGAACAGGCTCCCGCTGCCTCCGGTGTCAGTATGCATGGATCTCCCTCCTGCCTCTCTCGCGCTTCTCGCAAAACCTTTGCTTTCCTTTTCGATCCCCTGCCCCAGGACTTTCCTCTTGGGATACTCCCCGTCTTATCACAATTTTAAACCTTCACACCAGAGGGTGCATGCACGCACCCGCGCACACGAGAGAGAGAAGCCCCTCGCAGGGTCTCTTCATACCTGACCCCTCCCTCCAGCCCCCCAGCCCCTCGGCATCGCGGGTGCCCACCCGCCTGCTGTGCTTGCAGGCTCACCCGGGGTCCAGACTCCAGGTTGGCCATATGGCTTCCAGCACTGCGGTCCAGCACGCTGCGGACTGCGCTGCGTACACCGGCCCGAAAGGAGGCTGTCATGTCTTAATCCCGTGCCGTGGTGCGGAAGCGGCCCCTTCCCCTCCGCCCAGCCGTCAGATGCTGCCGTAAGGCCAAAGCTCCACGTCGCTCGCGTGCACCCCCGTGGGCAGCGAGGCGTGACTGCCTGTCGCGAGGATCCCTGAGTGGGGAGAAGAGCGCGTTAAGTGGACACTGGCTTTTTCTCTGGAAGCAGTGACCTTTCACCCGGAAACCACGGGACTCGGCGTCTCCAGATGCACTCTGTCGCCGTTTGCTTTTTCCCGTTAGTCTTGGATTTCAGTTCCTGGGGTTGTGACCTCGATGATCTCATCTGTAGATCTGGATTCGACTCTTTTCTTGTAAAAGCAGGTAAATTGAGCAACTTACCTGTGAACCTCAGGAACTGTCCGGACAATGTGATTTTGAATTTCATCTTGTTATTTTTGTTGAGCATAAAGAGTTGAAGCAAGTGAATTTTTTTTTTTTTTTTGAAATTTTGTTTGCCTTTTAAGTACCCGGTTCACAGGCAGAGGGGCCACTTCAGAGTGCCACGGGAGTGAAGACGTTGCTGCCTTTGTTTCCCACCCCACCTTCTCAAGCTCCGTGCACCTCCTGTCACTTGGTTGGGGTCTGTGGTCACGTCCCCACTGCCTGTTGTGCAGACTGACAGGTCAGGCCAGTCAGAGCCCCAGATATCCCTCTCGTCCTGGAGAACGGTCCGTCTCTAAGCGCCGTCAGCCAGTCGTGCTGACCGCCCCTCGTAGAAGTGGGGGGGGGAGAGGGGCTTGCCCCAGGTGCTGTCCCATCCTTTAGGTGCTGCTGCGCTGAGCTGGCCGGGGACCTGGGTCCCATCAGGCTAGCTCAGAGTCCATGAGGTTGGGCACGCGCAGTACCCGTGAGGTCGTGGGCTTCTAAGTTACGCTGGGATCTTCCAGCCCCTTCTGCAGGAGCTCAGGCCGGTGCGGAGGCACCATTTCTTACCTCGGAGCAGCTAGAAACGCCTTTCTCTCGGGTAAACACAGGAAGCCCTTACCGATTTGAGCCCCACTGTCCCCCTGCTCTCGACCTGGGCCGCGTCGCCGGCGGTGGGGGAGGATTCCTGCGGAATTTTGTCTTCAACCTCATGCCCTCCCCTGCTGCCAGGCGAGTGGCCTGTGGGAATTCCACTGTTGGACCAAACGAGAGCTGTCTCGGCTCTCCGTCTGTCGCACTGAGAACGCGGCTGGAGCCTCGCTCCTTGCAGTAGGGGCTGCTGGCGAGGTTCCCGCTGTGGGGTAAGCACTTGCCCCGGAGCGGACCAAGCTGTGAGCCGCAGTCAGCACTCAGGTGTATAGTGTCACCTTCCCCAGGCTGGGAGGGTCAGCCTGCTTTCCCAGTCATCCAGTCAGTTGCGTACGCATTAACGTCAGGGAGCCACGGCGGGGAGGAGGGAGAGGAGAGCTTAGGGGACTATTAACGATTCTGATTCCTGCCGGTACACGTCGCTCATCGGCAGAACTGACATCTGGCTGCATGCGTCTGACCCTTCACCTGCCTCACGTGTTCTCCGTGTTCTCCTTCTCAGCAGACTAGCTCATGTCCTCCCCGTCCCCTGTCACCCTCCGCCATAGCCTCCATCCTCACCCCCGCCTCCTCATCTCAGCTCCGTCCTCTTCCCGCTCCACCGCCCTTGGCGTCCTCCTCTGGCGGAAGTACTGGTGGCTCGCCTGCATGCCGCTGTCCCCTCGCGCTGGCATGTCATGGTGGCACTGTTGTGCTCTCTCCCTCTTCCTCTCTACTAACAGACGCAGACCAAACTGGAGCATGCCCGCATTAAGGAGCTTGAACAGAGCCTGCTCTTTGAAAAGACCAAAGCTGACAAACTCCAGAGGGAGTTAGAAGACACTAGGGTAATGGTTTTCGCTGTTTCCTGAAGCAGACCCCGTGCGTGAGTGTGGACACCCAAGCCCTGGCCCCGTGGTTCAGCCTGAGTTGGGTCTTGGTCCCGTTCAGGTGTTCATGAGCCGAGGCCGTGGGTAGGCACAGGGGTTGGCGGCTACTCTGTGGTCAAAGGTAAAGACGCAGTGCCTCGGTTAACTCCACCACCACCAAACCAGTCTGCACAGGAGCGTCAGCTACGTGGCACCCCCGCCTGCCCTCGAGTGTCTCGGGCTCAATGCCGGGATTCCCACACACAGCCAGTTGTCCTCTCGTTCTCGTTCTCGTTCTCCTAGGGTCGGGTTTTCTAAAGGATTTTTGTTGCTGTTGTTTTTTCTTTAGTTCTCTTCCTGGCTCCTCTGACCTCATGGAGGACGGAAATCGAAATACTGGCTCTTCTTAATGAGCGTTAAGGATTTTCACCCCAGTTATCTTTTTTTTTCTCTCTCTCTTAATAGCCAGTTCTCTTTGTATCTCCCTCCTTCTGTCACCCTGGAGAGTAACCATCTCAGGGGGCAGGAGGAACATGTGCTCTGGGGGCAGTGACTTCTTACTGCTTCCGAACGCGGCCTTCGGGCCTGGCAGCCAGCGGGCCAGCCGTGTTTCAGTTTATTTCTGTTTTAAAGCCCCGTGTAGTGCTGGGTTAGTGGCAGGCGCTGCCGGGAGGACTTTAAGAAGTGGTATTCAGTCTCCCCGCAGCCCTAGGAGGTAGGTGGTAGTATTGCTCCCATTTCAGAGATGATGACATTGAGGCACAGAGAGATGAAATCCCTTCCCGGGGACACACAGCTAATAGGACTGGTGGAGTTAGGACTTGCATCCAGGCCGTCTGGCTCCGGAGTCTGCTCCTAGCCCCCGCAGGATGGAGTCTGTCTATTAAGGAGGTAGTTTCGTGCTGAAAGATACGTAATCACACACACGTACACACAAACGCGTACTCGTATGCATCTTGTCAAGCATCTATCTGGCTGTCCATGGCTAAATTGCCCAGATCCTCGACTTCAAAAGCTCAAAAGTTACTCTGTCTCTGATCAAATGTGGTGTCCTGATTTTTCCTCCTTTTGAATTATTAGTACGTGCTGAAATCCTTTTGGTGGGAAATCACTGATCTAAAAATCTCCGCAGCTGCCTGATTGTCCTTCTTTAAATCGTACGTTATTACTTTTTTTTTTTTTTTTAAAGAAGAAAGACCATGTTCTGAGTTGGCCTCAAAAGTATAGATTTGCCCTGTGTACTTGGTAAGGAAAAGTGACAAATGTGGTCATTTGGTGCGGTTGCTTTGCCCCTGAGAACCAAGGGCTTACTCTGGGAAACACAAGCGACCCGTCTGACGGAGTCCCTCGAGTGACTGGCGGCCACGGCAAGGTGTCCTCGCTCCAAACCCCTCTCCCGTGCCGCAGTTTGCTCAGCAAACAGCCTCGGTGCTTTCTTTCTGCTCTGGATAAGAAGGCCTTCATTTTCTTTCTTTCATTTGGGAGAGGTTTTTGCTTTCTCTCTCCCTGGTGAGTGTACATGCCCTATAGCAAACTTAATAATAAAATAATAAATACAATTAAGTAGTTACTAAAAAGAAGAATTCCTTTTAGCCAATAAACCCAGTTGACGGAGTGCCTCGATCTCCCGAGATGTTAGCGAGAGTAAGAAATGATTCCTGCCTTCTCTGGCCCCAAACTAGCAGACACAATAGTTGCCATTAAAGACAAATGCTGGGAAATCAAAAACAGGAGAACAATATGAGAAGTTGCCACATAAAGTATAATTGCATTGGGACCAGCAGTTAGCGTAATGGCTATGTCGCTGGACTCCCATGTAGTCGACTGTGGTTCGAGTCCCAGACCCGGTGGCTTAAAACTCATGCTGGGCAAATGTGCGTGCCCAAGATCCCGAGAGGAGAATGGAGGAGAAGGGGTTGCGGCGTGGCCATCCCCCCTGGGGGGTGATTTCTCACTTTCTGTCTCTTTGTCTCTCTCTGTCTGGCGAGCACACACGCCCTATAGCAAAAAAAAGTATAATTGCATTATTAGTTCACTTATTTTTTTACTTGGCATTTTCTTAACTTGATTGTTTTGTTGTGACTAAGAACTATTGCCTTGTTTTTTAAAAATAATTATTTGATATTATTTATTATTATTATCATTTTAATTTGGTATAGGGCATGTGTGGTCACACCAGATAGAAAGAGAGAGTGAGAAAGCAAGTCACCAGGTCCAGGACTCAAACCATAGCCATGTGGGAGTCCAGTGCTTTAACCACTGTGCCACCTGCTGGCCCCAGAACTATTGCCCTGTTAATTAATTGGTTCTATAGAACTTGCAGCAGTTGGGCTTATTAATGTTTTGTGCTTTATTTTGAGGTAACACACTTTTGGCCTCCCCTCTTCCCAGGAAACAGTATGTAAATGACTCTCTAAAAAAATGATTAACTAGGGGACCAGCAGTTAGCGAATGGCTGTCACTGGACCACAGTTCAAGTCTCGGACTCAGTGGTTTAAACTCAACTGGGTGCATGTGCGTGCGTGCCCAAGATCCCGAGAGGAGAATGGAGGAGAAGGGATTGCAGCGTGACCATCCCCTCTGGGGGTTGATTTGCCCTATAGCCAAAAACCTCTCCAAAAAAAAAAAAAAACAGATGAACTAAATTATCATTATTATTAATTTGACCTGAGAGAGAAAGAAGAAGTGAGAAAGCAAGCTGCCAGGTTTGGGACTCACAGTGTCTTAGCAGCACACCCCCTGTAGGCCCCTGTAAATGACTCCACAACCCAAATCGTCCGTAACCAGGGAGCCCGGCAATTATAGTCAGCTGTAAAATATTTAATGCCTTTTGATGATGCCGTTTTAGAGCCTCAGATGCCTTTTCCTCTTTCCTTGTGGACATTTTGTCCGTGTCACATCCTGTGGGTTGGCACACGCAACGGAAGAAACGTATCGGTTATTTTCTGTCCCGTTCAGGCAGGGTGGGAGGGGAGTCTTAAATTTGGAGGCCTTTCCGCCCTTGAAACGGGACTCGTCGGTGTTTTCCAATTGTGTTCCCTTGTGTTTCCCAGATTAATCAGTAATTCGAACGCCCAAAGCTACCGTTTCCCACATAATCTGTATGCCAAAGTGACTGCCCACTGGGCAGGGAGGGTTTCCTAAGCCTGAAAGGACACTGAGTCAGACCGTGCCTCCCCGTCGCCCCGGGGTTCCCTCACAAGGGGCGGGTCACGGCAGGGCTCAGGCACACGCAGTCTGTGGGAGGAGCCGGCGCTTCAGGTCCACACTCCAGGTGACTCACGCCTGTGCGGAGGTCTGAGAACCGCTGGGTTGGGGGCCAGTGTGTGCACGAAATGCTGATGGGGTGTACACTCCATGAGGGGCCGCGGTCTTTAATCGCAGGTAAGTCACCGTTCTTCCTTTGTCTTTCTTGGAAAAGGTCAGTAAATGAATTCCCTATTGTCCTTAAGGCTTATGGTGCAGGCGACACGTCACTCACTGAAGCATTCGATGTGTAATTGTAGGCCGCGTGTCCCAGCGCCATCCGAGAGGTGTCCAGTGCAGCCGCATAAGCACAGCTGACATATTTCTGGTACCCTCGGTAACTCACCTGTTAGTTACAGGTCAAATGAATTTTCATAATACATCTTATTTAAACCAGTACGCCCCAAATACTTCATCATAGAATCAGTGTATGAATTGTCAACAAAACGTATGTTCTTTTTGTCGCGCATGATCAAAATCGGGTGTGTATTTTAGACACAGCCCGTTTTGCTTCCGACGAGCTACATTTCAAGCCGTCGTACCTGGCTCCCAGCTCCCGCCCAGACCGCCCAGGTCTGCGAGCTCGGCACCACCCAGGGGATGCGATTTCACCTAGCCCGGGTGAGGCGGGGCCAAGTAAACTGGCGAAATGGGGGGACGCTTTCTTCCGAGAGGCAGCTAGACCTGACACCTTCGAGTTACGGTGTCTGTGACCTTATTAGCTCCCTGACTTAAGCCTCTAGAGGAGAAAGACCGGGTTAAACTCGTTAGCAGTCCTAGACTCCTTTGCGTCTCGAGATGATAGAAGTTCGCCAGAGATCGTGTCGACTAGGAGGGGTTAAGCCAGGACCACTGTCGTTTGTGTTCACGTGACTGCTGCCTGCCCTGGGGAGGTTAGTAAAGACCGTCGGTGTTACAGGGAATCCCGAGTGACTCCTCATTCAGATGCTCTCTCTCTCTCTGGACTGCCGTTACTAGGTGGCCACCGTGTCAGAAAAGTCCCGTATAATGGAGCTAGAGAAGGACCTAGCGCTGAGAGTCCAGGAGGTGACCGAGCTGCGGAGGAGGCTGGAGTCCAGTAAGCCCGCCGGGGACGTGGATGTGTCTCTCTCCCTTTTACAAGAGATAAGCTCTTTGCAAGAGAAGCTCGAAGTCACCCGTACTGACCACCAGAGACAACTGGCTTCTCTGAAGGAGCAGTTCGGAGCCCGGGAGGAAACCCACCAGAAAGAGGCAAAGGCCCTGCACAGCGCGGCCGAGAAGCTGGCCAAGGAGAACGAGTCCCTGAGGAGCAAGCTCGAGCACGCCAACAAGGAGAACGCCGACGTGATCGCCCTGTGGAAGTCCAAGCTGGAGACCGCCATCGCCTCCCACCAGCAAGCCATGGACGAGCTGAAGGTGTCCTTTAGCAAAGGCGTCGGGACGGAGACGGCGGAATTCGCCGAGTTAAAAACGCAGATCGAGAAAATGAGACTGGAGTACCAGCACGAGATAGAGAGTCTGCAGGCCCGACAGGACTCCGAACGGTCTGCTCACGCTAAAGAGCTCGAAGCCCTCAAGGCCAAGCTGATGAAAGTCGCTAAAGACAAGGAGGACAGCCTGGAGGCCATCAAGGCCAAGCTGGACAGGGTGGAGGACCAGCATCTGGTCGAAATGGAAGACACGTTAAACAAGTTACAGGAAGCCGAAATAAAGGTAAAGGAGCTAGAGGCCCTGCAGGCCAAATGCAGGGAGCAGACCGAGGTCATTGGGCATTTTACGGCACAGCTCAAGGCTGCCGAAGAAAAGCTCTCGGATCTCGAAGCGCTTCGGAAAGCCAGCTCCGAAGGTAAATCGGAAGTCGAGAAACTCAGACAGCAGCTCGAGGCAGCTGAGAAACAGATTAAACATTTAGAGATCGGAAAGAATGCCGAAAGCGACAAGGTTGGTATCGTCACCCGCCATCTTTTCCTTTCCCATGCGTTCTTCTTCTTTTGCATCATTTTTCACTTTTGAGTTGTGGCAGTTCATTCTCCAAATCGATCAATTAAGGGAAACGAATTGCCGGGTGCTCCCAGTGGAGCGGAGCGTGGGACCTCTGCCCTCTGAGCATGGCGTCGTCCGGAGGGTAGAGGGAATGATGACTCACGGTGTGACTCTGCCGTGGTCACTTGTCTGGGCAGGTCTCTACTCTATGTCCAGATCATGCCATCTCCCGGTTAAGTTGTCCCAGTCCTTAACCTCTGTTTAAAAATACAGAACTCCTGGGACCAGGACTCCCATGTAGTCGACCGCGGTTCGAGTCCCGGACCTGGTGGCTTAAACTCACGCCGGGCGCGTGTGCGTGCACGCCCAAGATCCTGAGAGGAGAATGGAAGAGAAGGGATTGTGGTGTGACCATCCCTCCCCCCCCCAAGGGGGTGTGATTTCTCACTTTCTGTCACTGTCTCTGGTGAGTGCATGCACCCTACAGCAAAAATCTCTCTAATAATAATAATAATTTAAAAAAAATAGAGACCTCCCTAAAACAATGGTGTTGAGTTAGGGTAAATGCACGAACAAAAAAGATGGACACTTGTAAGTCTGGTTTTCCATCTGCACAGTTGCCATGTCTGGGGGTTATTCCAAGTGCTTTTTGACTGTAATTAACCTGTAAGATCTGGTAACTAACATTCACAGCAGCGTTTCGGTCAAGAGCCTGGAGCCCTTCATGGTGTCCCTGATGTTTCATTGGGCTTTTTCTCTCTGCTACAGCAAGACATGATCTGTCCCCTACTTTTTTAAAATAAAAATTATTCAATTTGGGGGACCAGCAGGTGGCGTAGTGGCTAAGACGCTGGACACTCCCACATGGCCAACCGCTGCCGTCTGAGTCCTAGACCCGGTGGCTTGCTTTCTGACTCTCTCACTCTCTCTCTCTCTGCCTCTCTCTGGTCAAATTAAAAATGAATGAATGAATTAATAAAATTGAATAAATAATTCTTTAAAAAATTATTTAATTTTATTTACTGTTAATTTAAATTTGCTGTAGCACATGTACTCTCACCAGAGAGAAACAGAGAGCGAGCAAGCCTCCAGGTCTGGGACTCGAACTATAGTCAGCCATGTGGGTGTCCAACACCTTAACCACCATGCCACCTGCTGGCCTGGGCCCCCTAACTTTAGAGGAAAAATTGGCCAAGTGTGCTTTCGGTCAGTCATAGGAAATCGGATGAGACATTCAGCAAACTAGCCTTGTTAGATGTCACCTTCATTTTTGGGGGGAGGGGGAGAGGTTTTATTGCTTTAGGGCGTGTGCCCTCACTGGAGAGAAAGACAGACAATGAGAGGGAAGGTGAGAAATCACCCCTCGGGGGGATGGCCATGTTGCATTCCCTGTCCTCCATTCTCCTTCCGGGATCTTGAGCACACACACACACACACACACACACACACACTCTCACACACACACACACACACACACACACGCCTGCCGTGAGTTTCAAGCCACCAGGTGTGGGACTCGAGCTGCGTTCAGCCGTGTGAGAGTCCAGCGGCCTAACTGCTACACCGTCTGCTGGCCCTGTCACCCTCACTTTAAGGACCGGTGCAGGGCTCCTCGCCCAGCCTTGCTGTGAGGACTGAGGCGCCGGGCTGGTGCTGTGTCCCGAGTGTCTGGCCGGGGCAGATGAGGCGCTAAGTAACCGTCCTGGAAGGTGACCGACGGGAGCCAGGGACGTTTTCTCAGGTCTCCTCATGTGTTTCCAAATAGCAACTGAAACACAGAATTAATTAGAGAATATGTCGCTAATGGTTGGGCCGCTTTTTTTTTTTTTTTAGAATTTTTTTAAATTTAATTTTTATTCATTGTCATTATTTTATATTTTATGTTTTTGAAGTTGACCAGACAGAGACAGCAAGAGAGAAGGAAAGTGAGAAAGCAAGCTGCCAGGTCCGGGACTCAAACCACAGTCAGCCATGTGGGAGTCCAGTCGCCTTAACCACCATGCTACCTGCCGGCCCCTGGGCTGCTTTTTTATGTCAAGATTTAATGAGTGCCAGGCCCTGACGACTTGTCTGTTGGACTATTAAATTGTATTGAAATGCTGAAATACTTGAAGCATGTATAAATACACAGAAAGTAATACAGACCACATGTACCCACCATCCCTAGTGTCAGGCTCTTAAAATCCAGAAAGTGAAATTAGCGAGGTGGTTCATTCAGAAAGTAAGTACCCAGGGGCCAGACCTCTGGCCTTGTGTTTAAGGAAGCCTGATCCCACAGCTGACCATGGTTCAAATCCCAGCCCCAGAGGCTTAAAACACACCCTGGGTGTGTGCGCAAGCGTGCCCGAAGTCCCAACAGGATCGAGACAGGGATTAGAAGGATATTGTGGTGTGACCATACCCCATGAGAGAGAGCTTTCTCCCTCTCCTTCTCTCTAGCAAGCACATGCCCCCTCTCACAAATTAAAAGAAAAAAAGAAAGAAATAAAAAGAAGTACCTGCCCCTTTCTGACTGAGTGTGCAGTTACATTCCAAATCGAGGTAGGAAGGTAGGCCATTTTGATTACTTCATAGCTGTTGGACAGCCACGTCTGAAACAGTTTGAAAAGGCATTGGCTTCGACTTCACAAAAAAGCAAAGTTTCTGTTCCTTTCAGTGCTGTTGTGTTACGTGTGTCCCTCATTCATTTTTCACGTTGGCTTTATTTTTTCCTTTGCATCCCTTTTCCTTTGGTCCATTCGCGTCTCTGCCACACCCCCGTGTGTTAGGCTCGTAGCATCAGCAGCGAGCTGCAGGGGAAGGAGCTCGCGCTCGCTAGCCTGCAGGAGAGTTTGCGTGAAGCCGGTCAAGTGAGAGAGGCTTTGGAGAAAGAACTTCGGATTTTGGTAAGTACCAGGTGGGAGCCGGAATTAGGCCTTCCGGCCACTTCCTTAAAAAAAATATGTGCACCAAGACGGAAATATCGCAGCTATTTCTTTTCAACTTCGAAGTGTTGACCTAAGTCAAGTGTATTATTTATTCCTTGATGGGGATCGGATCAAACCCAAACTGGCGATGCAGGTAGGTGTTACTCTCTTCCCGTCCGCCCCCTGCCTCTGGTGGGACGCGCTGCGGCCGAGGGTGTGTGACTTCTTCCTGTCCCTGGCAGGGACCCGCGAGTTCTGCAGCCAGCACAGCGAGGCTTCGTTTACACCGGGCTCTCACAGGTGCCTTTTACCAGCTTTGTGACTGGGTGTGTGGTGGGCCGTCAAAGGTGTACAACCACATGAATTCAAAGAACTCCTTCTTTTCCAAAAAACATTTATTTTTTAAAGAATTCTTTATTTTTTCAAATGTCACCTGAGAGACACACACAGAGAGGAGGGAAAAGTGAGGAACAAGCCACCAGGTCCAGGACTCGATCCACGGTCAGCCATGTGGGAGTCCAGCACCTCAGCCACCACGCCGCCTGCCGGCCCCAGAATCCCTTCTTTTAACTCAGTTTATTCAGCTCAGGAAATAAGCCAGTCTTTCATCTGTTTGCTTTCCCTGGCCCCAGCTGTAAGACATGTATCTGTTTTCTCACTGGCCCTGGCGTGTTTCCTTCCTACCTGGCATCCTGCATGGAAACCCAGCCTCGGCAAGGCTGGCAGTCGGGAGCAGGGCCGGCAGGTCCCCCCCCCCCCACCGTGGGAAGGGCAGCCCGGGTTCACGGAGAAGCCAGGCCAGGGGAGCACTGGAGGCCCCTCTGCAGGCCTTCCGTCTCCACCCACTGTGGCCCTGCTACCAGACACACCCGCGACGGGTGAGTTTCTATAGGCAGAGGGCTACCACCTCATGGTCTGGTGGCCGGAAGGTCCACAGGCGTCACTCAGTGGCAGGAGGCAGGACTGTACAGTGGCAGAGCGTGGTCTGTACCCATGTGGCTTCCTGTCTGATGGTGCGGAGCTGCCTCCTCCTCTCCACTGACAAACCCGCCTTGCTGCGTTCACGAGCCCTCCCAAAGACCCCACCCTGGGACACCACCGCAGGGTTAAGTTTCAGTTAACACCTTAACGTGCAGTAATTACTGGGACCAGCAGTTGGCGTAATGGCTGTGTCGCTGGACTCCCATGTTGTCAACCACGGTTCAAGTCCTGGACCCGGTGGCTTAAACTCACACCAGGCGCGTGTGCGTGCGTGCCCAAGATCCCAAGAGAAGAATGGAGGAGAAGATATTGTGGCATGGCCATCCCCCCCAGGGGGTGATTTCTCACATTCTGTCTGTCTTTTTCTGGGGAGCTCACATGCCCTATACCAAAAATCTCTCAAAAAAAAAAAAAATGCAGTAAATACAATGAAGTCCCAACGTGCGAATTTCTGGGGTACGTCCAATCATGGCCCACTAAGACCAAATTTCAAAACCTGAAACTCTGGGGACAAACCGTGATCCAAACAATAGCACCTCCCTATTCCCCACTTACTCTGCATTCGTGCTACTCCTGGGCATGGATGAAAGTGTAGTCCCGCTTCTCCATGGGTCAGTACTGCCGGTGAGTATGTAGCCTCACTGTTCAGTATGCTAATTACTGTCCCTAGAAGACTGTGCACATTTAACTAAAATTAAGACTTGAAATTGAGGTGTACTAGCTGCATTTTAAATGCTCAATAGCTACGTGTGGGTGGTGGCCACGGTGCAGTAGGGAGCATTTCTGTGATCGTAGCAGACTCTGTGGGCAGTTCTTTTTTAGATAAATATTTTATTTAACTTTATTTTATTCATTTATTTTAATTTGACCAGAGAGGGGGAGAGAGAGAGAGGGAGAGAGAGGGAGGAAGAGAGGAAAGTGAAAAAGCAAGCTTCCAGGTCCAGGGCTTGAACCACAGTCAGCCAGCACCCTTAACTATCATGCCACCTGCTGCCCCCCCGAAGAAAATGCTCTGAGTTCTACATCATTTCTCCTCCCTCCTCTCTAAGCTTTTAGGCTGCCTGATTTTTTTTTTTTTTTAAAATAACTTAGGGTGTTTCTATGTACTCTTTCTTTGGAGAGCTTTTTCGTTGTTGTTATAGAGCATATGCGCTTGCATAAGAGACAGAGAGAGAGGGAGACAGACAGAAAGTGAGAACTCACCCTCGCGGGGAAGGCCACACCGCTGTCCCTTCTCCTGTTCTCCTCTCGGGATGTTGCGCACGCACACGTGTACCTGCATGATTTTCAAGCCGCTGGGCCCAGGACTTGAACCGTGGTCAGCCCTGTGGGAGTCCAGTGCCATAACCATCACACCATCCGCTGGCCCCATCATTATGTATTTTTAAGAGAAAGCATGCCACCTTGGTCTGGCATTGGGGATGATGCAGGTGAGCAACCTGTGAGCTTTGGTGGCTTTATCACCCTCATGCCCATCTTTTTATAATCCTAGTTAGTTAGAAATACTCCTTTAAGGGGCCGGCAGGTGGCGTGGTGGTTAGGGGCACTGGACCTCCCACATGGCCGACCACAGTTCAAGTCCCGGACCTGGCACCTTTCTTTCTCACTTTCTCTTTCTATGTTCCTCTCTGGTCAAATTTAAGTAAATAAATAAAGTTAAATAAAATAATTCTCTTTTTTTACTTTTTTTATTTTTTTTCCCGAGAGGTTTTTGCTATAGGGCGCATGCGCTTGCCAGAAAGACAGAGACAGAGAGACAGAAAGCGAGAAATCACCCCCCTGGGGGGATGGCCAAGCCGCAATCCCTTCTCCTCCATTCTCCTCCCGGGATCTTGGACACGCACGCACACACACCCGTCATGAGTTTAAGCCACCGGGTCCGGGACTCTAACTGTGGTTGACTACATAGTCCAGCAACATAGCCATTTTGCTAACTGCTGGTCCCAAGTTAAAGAAAATAATTCTTTAAAAAAAGAAAAAAAGAAATATCCCTTTCAAAATTCTGAAGGGGCCAGCCTACAGCCACCTGATTTAGGAACCGGATCCCACATAGCTGACCATGGTTCAAGTCCTGGTCCTGGTGGCCTGAAAGCATACAGGCACACGTGCAGGCATGCCCAGGGGCCCGGCTGGACAGAGAAATGGAGGGGAGGGCGTGATGTGGCCACGCCCCATCAGGGAGTGCTTTCTGCCTCTCTGTCTGTCTGTCCTTGTCTCTGGCAAGTGCACATGCCCCCTGGCAATCAAAAAACGTTCTCTTGTGTAGCTAGCTCAAACCTCACTTCAGGACATGCAGGAGAGTGGTTTTTATCTTGGCTTCTTGGCATGTCTAGAAAGCATTTGTAGCAGGTGGCTGATGGACCTTTTCCATTTAAAAAGTAGTTACAGACCCAGAGTCCAGAGACTAGACTTAGATTACTTGCAGAAATGGAAAGTTTGAGAACTCTCGGGACAAGCAGATGGTGTACTAGGTATGTCGCTGGACTTCCACGTAGTCGACTATGGTTCGAGTCCCAGACCCAGCGGCTTAAAACTAATGCTGGATGCATGTGTGTGTGTGCCCAAAATCCCAAGAGGAGAATGGAGGAGAAGGGACCGCGGCGTGGCCATCCCCCTGGGGGTGATTTCTCACTGTCCCTCTGGCAAGCACACACGCCATATAGTAAAAATCTAAAAAAATTTAAAAGTTGGAGAACTCTCTATATTGGCTCAGACAGATTTCTCAGGAAAATGTCTGCTATGGTTGACAGGTGGCATGGTGGTTAAGGGCGCTGGACTCCCACATGAGCGACCATGGTTCGAGTCCCGGATCTGGCGACTTGCCTTCCCAATTTCCCCCCACCTCTCTCTCTGACCCTCTCCGGTCAAATTAAAATAAATGTCGATGAAGCTATCCTAGTCACAAGCAGCCGTCGTAGTTATAACTGTGAGGCCTTTTATCCTTCTAATTTGAAGTCTTTCTGTTCTGAACATCTGGTTCTTTTTCTTTAGAGAGAAAAGTACGCTGCTGACTCCAAGGAGGCAGCCTCTGTCCAGAGAAGTATGGAAGGTGAGTCTTCCTAGGGCCAGCGGTCCCTTAGAGAGCGCGGACCTAGCACCCCAGGAGCCTCTGCAGCGCGTAGAGCTGCCCTGCCCGGGGCACGGGTTGCTGATCCAGACCTGGCGCGCTCACCGACCCACGGTCCTTCCTGAGAGCCACAGCGAGACTGCATTCTGTCGGCTTCCTGGAGCCTCAGACTCTCAAAGTACTGCCCCGTCTGCTGCCTGAAGGCTTGCTCCCCGTTAGGATGTAAGCCCCGGGAAATGATCTTATTTAAGTGTTCACCATGGATGGCTTTACTGAGTTTTATGTGGGAGGAAGGAGACGCGTGGGAGGGCCACGCCCGGCCCCTGCCCGTGTGCACATGGGGGAGGCAGAGAGAGCCGCCCCTGCCGCCTCGTATCACGGCACGGTGTGATCCATAAGGGGACCGCTTCGTTTTCCTGGTTCTCAAATCCCAAAAGCCTATGATCTGATGACAAGACAGGCAAGCTCTAGATGGCTTTCTGAAATGTGAACTGCGTTAAACTTTTAACTTCACCCGAAATAGAAACCGTGAACATACTGCACCAAAAGGAGGAGCAGTTTAACATGCTGACTTCGGAGCTGGAGAAGCTGACGGAAAACTTAGCGGGTAAGGAGACATGTCTGGTTGCGGGACGTTAGGGTTAGCGGGCTCCCCAGGCTCTGGGTCAGCCGTAGCAGATCACAGACACCCGCCCCCTCTTCCTCCTCGTGGGGACACGGCGGATGAAGTACTCATTGGAGGTCTGACCTACAGCAAGTCCTCTCGGCTCTGCCTTCAGGAGAGCCAGGACTCGCCACGTGCCCCTCGCCCTGCCTACTCGGCCCAGGCCAGCAGCATCCGACCCTGAGCTGCTCTAACAGCTGACCACCCCGCCCCTTCCGCTTGTCAGTGCAGCAGCCAGAGGGGGCCTTGTCACGGGAAGTCAGGCTGCGTCCCTGCCCTGCTCAGGGTCCCCTTGTGGCTCCCACCTCCCTCACTGAGAGCTGCAGTCCTGGGCCACCCGCCCTGGGCCATCCTGCTCCATCGTGTTGGCCTCCTGGCTGGCACTTGGCGTGGTGGGCCTGGTCCTGCCGGAGCCTTTCCCCTCACCTCCTGCAGGTCTTTACCTAAACGTCACCTGGTCAGGGCCAGCAGGTGGCATGGTGGCTAAGGCACTGGATTCCCATGTGGCTGACCACGGTTCAAGTCCCAGACCTAGTGGCTTGCTTTCTCTCTCTCTCTCTCTCTCTAGGGAACACATGTACCCTATACTAAATGAAAATAATAATAACAAATTAAATGAATGAATTTTTTTTTAATGTCACCATCTCAGAGAGGTCTCATCTGAGACTTTGAACCTTGCCAACTTCTCAGCTCCTTTTCCCCCTTTTCCTCTTAGCACGTGCCCACTATTGTACTGTTTCTTTTACTCCCTTCTCTATTGCCGGTAGACATTCTCTCTGCGGAATACTTGCACTGTCAGGCATTCCCAGCACAGGGACGCGCTCAGTGCGCTGTCCTTGATTATTGTGGCCGCTTGTTCTCTTGCTAGTGACAGGAAACACCTGAGTCTGGGGAATTTATCACAGCAGAGGTTTGGAAGTCTGGGGTCCAGGGGCCACTGGCGGGGGTCTGCTGGCTGTCGCAGTGCGGTGGGGGCAGGGTGCGTGCATCCGTGTCCATGGCTCTGTCATTTTCCCTGTCCTTAAGCTCCACCTGCATGTCAGTCCTAATGGCCTTGATCCTAGAACAGCCAGACGTCGACCGCGAATCCTGGGTGGGGAGGGGCCCGGGGGGCCGTAGCCGTTGTAACACAGCGGGGCTGTCCTCGTTTCCCCGTGTGCTCAGATATGGAGGCAAAGTTTAGAGAAAGAGATGAAAGAGAAGAGCAGCTGATAAAGGCAAAGGAAAAGCTGGAGCATGACATCGCAGAGATAATGAAGATGTCTGGAGATAATTCTTCTCAGCTGACGAAAATGAACGACGAGTTACGTCAGAAGGAGAGGTATGTGTCCACGCGCCGGTCAGCGCCCGCGGCAGGGTCTGGACGGGGGGTGGGGGGGGAGGCAGAGTGTCCGGATGACGATGACTTAGAGGTGTCTGTCCCAGCCCTTCCTGCTGCCACCTCAGTGTGCCCCGAGTCAACTACGTAACCTCCTGCGTGGGCTTCACCATCCCCCTTGTCCAGAGCAGGGGGATACAGTATTATTCATAGACCGTGGGTTAACAGTTCCCCAGTGGCAATAACTTATTTTATAGGCAATTACAAGTATTTTTTAGGGGCTGTCAGGTGGGGTGGTGGTTAAAGGCACTGGATCCCCACATGGCCGACTGCGGTTCGAGTCACAGACCTGGTGGCTTGCTTCCTTGCCTTCCCTTTCTATGTCTGTCTCTGGTCAAATTAAAAATAGTAATAAACAAGTGGAATTAAAGAGATAAATACTTATTTAAGAAAAGTAGTTTTCAAACCTCTTTTACTGCGGTGAGAGGCAACACCTACTAACACTGCTTTGCGTGCCATGCACCACACCAACAGTTCCATGCATGGAGCATGTTCCTAATTCTCATGACAACTGTATAGGGACAGCAGGTGGCGTGGTGGTTAAGGGCACTGCACGCCCACGTGGCTGACTGTGGTTTAGGTCCCGGACCTGGCAGTTTGCTTTCTCGCTTTCCTTCTCTCTCACTCTGTCCCTCTCTGCCACCTGGGGTGAGCCGCCAGCCTGAGGCTCGCGTCCGGGCAGCCTGGTCCCGGGCCCTTGCTCTTCTCTGTAAACTGCTTCCTCGGTGCTGAGGTTCTTGTACCTTTAACAGCAGCTCTTGTCTTGATTCCAAGGTTCTTACTGCTTTGATTTTTTTTCCTTTTAATAGCTGTTGTACAAAAATCCAATGTTTCCATTGGAAAGACAGAAGCTTGTGGGGGATGTCTTAGGACTATAAACTTTGACTCTTACTTGTTAGAGGGCCCGTGCCCTCACCAGAAACAGAGAGGGAGAGGAGAAAGCGCCCCCGTGGGGAGTGATCACGCCGCAGTCTCGTCTCCTCAGCTCCCACCTTCTGTGGGTGTGGCATACACGTGTGGCCAGCTTCTCAACTGCCAGATCCGGGACTCAAACCACAGGGCCAGCCATTTGAGAACCAGCTGCTTTATCTACTCAACCACAGAGCTGGCCTAAATTCTACTTTTTAAAGTGTTCGTGCTTGCAGGGTCGGCAGGTGGCATGGTGGTTAAGAGTGCTGGACTCCCACATGACCAACTGCAGTTCAAGTTCTGGACCTGGCCTAGACCTGGCAGCTTGCTTTCTCACTTTCCCATTCTCGCTCGCTCTTTCTCTTCCTCTCTGGTCAAATTGAAATAAATAAATAAATGAAAGCTAAATAAAATAATTATTTTTAAAAAAGTGTTAATGTTTGCAGGTTGTGTTTGCGTCCAGCCTTTCACTCACACACCAGCCCGAGCCAGTGGGTGACTGGTGACTAGGCTGTGGGCGGCCAGCTTTGGTCAGACTTGCATTGGTGGTTATGTTCAGAATGCCTTCAAGAAGTTCCATTTCCATAGGCATTTTACAGATACCAAATCCAGAGGCGCCCCCACTTCCCTCCTGTGTTCTCTGATTCATCTGATAGCCTGTTTCTAGGTGTTCCACGCACCTTCATTCAACCACACGGTTCTCTTCAAGTTAGAACTTCAAGTCATTTGTTGTCATCTTTGTATCTTCTGTTCCCAAGAGCCACCAGAATGCCCCAGCCATGGTGACGTGCTGCTAAGACTGTGTTCTGCAGCCTGGGACCACAGGGCGGGGGGTGGGTGGGGGTGCAGGTTCCGTTCCTGGACCAGCCTAAGGGCCAGGTGCAGACTGTGCACCTGTTACCCAGAGGCTCAGAGGCTGAAGCAGGAGGGTTGCAATGCAAGCCTGGCTTGTGCAACACAGAGAAACCCTGTCTTCTGTGGGGGTGGGAGGAGGGCAGAGAGCATGTGTGCTCATGAGAGAGAGAGAGAGACAGGCAGACAGACACAGGGGAAACATGAGGAAGCATCCCCCTCCATGGGGAGTGATAGCGATGCAATCCCTTCTTCATTTCTCCCTCCTTACGGGGTTTTGGGCATGGATGCACCTGTGCCGGTGTGTTTTTCAAGCCTCCAGGTCCAGGACTCAAACCATGGTCAGCCATGTGGGAATCCAGCATCCTTAACCACCACGCCACCTGCTGGCCCCATCAGTAGCTTATTTTAATACAGTTCTTAAGTCTAAAGATAGTCTTATGCAAAATCTGACTTCTCGTATTGAAACTTGTTCTAGATACGTAGAAGAGTTACAGCTGAAACTTACAAAGGCTAATGAAAATACGAGTTTTCTGCAGAAAAGTGTGGGGGAACTCACTTGCAAAGCTGAACAGAGCCAGCAAGAAGCAGCTAAAAGGCACGAGGAAGAAAAGAAAGAGCTGGAGAGGAAGTTGCTGGAGCTGGTAAGGAGCCAATACAGGGGACCGTTTGCCGGCGAGAAGGCAGGGGCAGTGTGGACCCGGCCGGGTGACTTACCCTCCCTCGGGTGTCTGCAGGAAAAGAAGGTGGAGACGAGCCACAACCAGTGTCAGGATCTGAAAGCCAGGTATGAGCAAGTCAGTTCGGAGACCAAAACCCAGCACGAAGAGGCCCTGCAGAGCCTGCGGAAGACGCTGCGGGACACCGAGCAGACGCTGAAGGCCGCGCAGGAGGAGAACCGTGGCCTGCTGCAGGAGATGGAGGAGCTGAGGAAGCAGGCTGACAAGGCCAGAGTACGTGGGGGCAGGCGGGTGTTGTGTCCTGGGACAGGGCAGCAGCCGCGGGTGGGGGAGTTGACGTGGCTTGTGTAGGTGTTCTCCCCCTGAGTTCACCCCCCGAGTCACAGACGTTCACCCCCGAGTTAGACGTTCATCCCCAAGTTATAGACATTCACCCCCTGAGTCACAGACGTTTACCCCCCGAGTCACAGACATTCACCCCCTAGTCACAGACGTTCACACCCAAGTTAGACATTCACCCCTGAGTCACAGACGTTCATCCCCCCAAGTCACAGACGTTCACCCCAAGTTACAGACGTTCACCCCCTGAGTGCCTGGCAGCGGGTGATTTCCTGTGGCTTCAGCTGCTGCCTCCGCCATGGCCGCTGCTCAGGATGGTGATGGCTGCACGCCTCCCGCAAGCATCCGGAG